TAGGACCACGCTGCTAAAAGATAATAGATGTTTTGTTGCCGGATGCTCTCCCCTCGGAATATTCATGCATTTGTTTTCGCAGGCCAGTCCGTCTTCGTCAGCGGAACGACCTCCGCAAGGTTAATTACATGGCACAAAGGGAGTGTGTCAGCTTTGAAAACATCCTGCTAGAAGTGATTCCCCATTGCCAGGCCTTAAAAAGGGCATGGACACAATAATGGAAACACAAGCAGGCCATATTCTGCGGTGATTACATTTATCAGATGGTGAAATACACACAAATGCATTGTCAGTTTTAATACTAAGACTCAACTCTGCTAGCTATAACACACATCCTGTGTGCAGTGTGCATTTCTGAGCTTCTAAAACAGCTGTGAAATGTGTGGGATGAATAGTTGGGCACTCAAATTGTAGCCTCAGCAGCAGCAGTGCTTTGCTAAGCCAGACGGCATCCAAAATTAAGACTGTTTTCACAAACAAGGGAAAACCCGGCTCAGGAAGGAGGAACGGCAAAACGGGAACAAGGCAGACACAAACAGGATAGCTGCTGAGAGAGACACCCTAAAAATGACCACAGCTCCCAATTTTAAACCTCACTGACCTCGTCTGAACCACACTTGTGCATGACTTATTTACAGTATAGCAGGGTTCGCATTTGGAGATCACCTGTAATCCAATTCAGTATGAAAAAACACACAACATGGTACAATGAGCAAGACAGTGGAAGCAAGCAACATATCAGCCAGTTCACTCTTGAAAAGAGAAAATGAAGATCATTGTATAGAGATCAACTGCTTAGAATGCTGGACGGGGTTATTTTGACTGCAGCCTGTGTAATAAGCCACATAATGTCTGGATTAAATGTACCTTCCAGTCATTTAACATAGAGATGGACCGATCTGATTCCAGGAACTGGTATCAGGCTGATATCAGGAGAAAATGCTGGAGTGGATAGTGGAAGGACATAAAGAAAGAACAGTAACAAATCTATCCTGAATAGCACATGCTCACACTGTGTGATGTGATGTCTGCTGTGTAGCTTTTTCTGTGGGTAAGAATAGTTGGAGCACTTCCGATGCTCATCTTAAAGATGATTTCTTGCATTTTTTTTCCATGATGTTCACTCATAATTTGTGGCTTTATGCATCATAAACAGTCATAACCTTGATTTATCGCTTAAACTAAAAAAGTTCAACTGTGTCCTTGAGACTGATATGTGAATGAGCTCTGCTCTGATAGGGTGCCCTGTACTGTGCCTTCTTCAAAAAGCAGTCTGGGGTGAAACACTGCTTATAACTTCAGCGTGAATGGCTGGAGCTTAAGTATGGGAGGCTGAATAGGTGGATACATTTACATTTGCAGATGTGTTGATATTTGTAACATCACATGACATATTTGCATTCATATATTTTTGCATTCATGTGCATAAATATTAACAGTTTGCTCTGCCTCTATCTCTCTCTCTCTCTCACACACACACACACGTGTATATATATATATATATATATATATATATATATATATATATATATATATATATATATATATATATATATATATATATATATATATATATGTACACACATACATATATATATAAAATATGGATTGTATGGGCTGCTGAATGCAATGTTAGTAGGGCATTGCCCCATTAACAGAGCCCTTGACACCAGACCTGTGGGCCTTTTAAGTGAAAAGCATTGGTATCATGCCACCTCAAATTTTAAATATTCTTGATTATGTCAAATCCCATAGCAATGTTCAATTACTAACTAGCTAATCAAATTTTGGAGAATTTTTGCGACCGATATATTTGAAAGACCCACAAAACAATATTTACCCAACCCCCATTAGAGACAATGCAGCTGAGAAGATGGCAAAAGTTTTCAACATCTGGATTATTTTTTCTTACTTCTCGTGGCCAAAAGTAAGCCACGTTGCCTGCTCACATCTGCTCAGCATGTTTTGGGCGGTTGGAGCTTCTTAAAGAATGAATGGCTGTTCTGCATTTCTTGCAATATGTCATCCTGAATAATTCCTAATAGGATCTATATCCAGATGAAGGTAACCACAAAGAAAAAAAGCACATACAGAAAGCTGATTACGACATGTGAGGGTCTCAAGTGCTATAGTGTATCATCACCTTCTCCAGAGCCCCCCCTCCACTCAGTACCACTCAAATGAGTCATCTCCCAGAGGCACTGAGGTACTTTCAAATGACTCCGGGACGGCCAAGTTTAGCAATCGATCTTCATGAAAGTTTAATGCTGAGAGAGCCCCCGAACAACTGCTTCTCTCGCCTGTCACCCTTCTTGCATCATCTTCGGTATCAAATTAAGACGGCAAATGCCATTCCCCAATTATCCCCCTGCTCATTAAAAAGTAATCCCCCTCATTAACAGATGTTTTGCCACACTTTGTGACCGCAGAAAGTAATTTCTGCGCCACACGACGCGACTTCGCTAATTGAGAATGCAAAGTGGCATTAGGCTAAGCAAATGATTACAAAATGATTTTGTTTTTGAGATCTCGCCTGAGCGCCTGGTCATGTTTGGTGCTTGTGGCTAGGCATGACCATGCAGGTTTCTTAAAAGCAGGATTGTGTGCACTCAGGCAACCCCCACTCGACCCCACCCCCCCCTCCCAGGATGAAACCTAAGAATTACAGAGGGGGGTTGAAATGCACCTTTGTTAGCTTAAATGGCAATTCCACCCATTTTTCAAAAATTCTGCATGATTCAGTGGTTGAGATGTAAACAGAGTCATTCAGATTGGTTTGGTGTGAAATAGTCCATTGTAGAGACTTTCTTTACAGTGGTGGTGATAGAAACCAGTGGTCACCATGTCTACAACACAAATATAGCCATTTTATTTACTATCCAAAACCACCAGTGGACCTACTTGTGTCTTCTGAGTTTTATATATTAGGTAAAATCTAGGGACTACTTTGTCACCCTGTATGTATCTCTCCGCACTGTATTATTTAAAAAAATGTTTTAGACCAAAAGCTTGTCTCAAAAATATCATCAAATTTCATAACAACTTTCTGTGAGGGAGCTTCTAGAGGCATTCAGACATGTGGTTCCCATCATCACCACTATGAACAACTGTATAGGCTCCTGTAGATCAAAACATTTCACATCAAACCACTTGAAATCACTTTGTTTACATCTTAACAACTGATTTACAGAAATTGTGGTGGAATTCCCCTTTAACAAACACTCATGGGGACCTTGCAGAATGCTCACTTATTCAGGCAAATGAAAGCATGCAGAGATCAACAAAACAATGCTATGCTGTTCAGCACTGAGGTATTCTATTTTGATGTTATTTCTCTGGAAGGATGGGCTCTGGAGAAGGTAATGATATATGTGAGTGCTGCTAGTGGTGGCTGCATGTTGAAACCTGCTGCTAGAAGCAGCTGTAACTGGTGGGTTGCTATAAAAAACACCTCCTCACCACATCAGCAATGTGGTAAAGAATTATAAAGAAATAGAGGTGATAAAGCCTCGAGACAGTACTGCAAACATTTGATAAGGTAAAACAGCGGTTCCGCTTCTCGAGAACAGCTGTCTGCTAAACATATTTGTCCTATTTTTGCTTCTAGCGCACCTGCGTGGTAGATAATCAACACTCAAGCTGGAACATAACAAGAATGTGGACTGGCTGGTGGTCTTTGACTCTTAACAACATGATTTGTGTCAAGAGAGTAAATATATGGTGTGGGAGTGAAGCTGGACCATTAGCAATAAATAGGTCTCATATTAAAGAGGAAATCCACTGATTTTCGAACATTTCTGCAAAATAAAATGGTTAAGATGTAAGCACAGTTGTTTAGAGTGGTTTGGTGTGAAATGCTCCATTCTAGACAAAATCAAGAGTCAGAATTGTTCACAGTGGAGGTGACAGGAGCCAGAAGTCCACCTTTAAAAGCTCCCTCACAGAAAGTTATTACATGAAATGGTTATCTGGTACATCAGATATTGTTTTATGATTAAAATGCGTTATCAACATTCCATATAAAAACTCAGAACACGTGTAGGTTCAATGGTGGTTTTGGACAATAAATAAAATGGCTATATTTATGTTGCAAACACAGCGACCCCTTGGTTCCTTTCACCACCACTGTAAAGAAATCTGAGTCTCTAGAGTGGTTTCACACCAAACCACTCTGAATGACTCTGTTTACATCTCAGTGATTGAATTCTCAGACAGGATGATTCAATTCTCCTCTTAATTTTGGATGTGAATGACCTTATACATTACTGGTCACAAGGCTGCCATGGTTTGTATGGTGCAATGCCATCAAGTGTGACACTGTACAACACTGGCCTAACAGTGGAAGTCTAAATATAGAGCAAATGCCTTGTTTTGTTGACCCCCATCCCCCCATCAGTATGTATCTGTAGGCCTCAGCTTTGCCTGTACCTCAACTACCCCTTACCTCCTATAGATCACAACAGCAGATTCACAGCAAACACATCAAATGATATTAAACGAAGACCTAAACAGAATAGTTTGGTGAAAAAACAAATGCACACAAATTCCCCCTAACCCCAGATGTAGTCGCTCGGCCACGACATGTTTGGTGTCCAAATTTTGCTTCTTAGGTTTAGTGCTAGCTATGAGGCTAACATTGCTAACACTGGATGTCAATAGTCACCCAGATCTTTTCTGTAAACACATCCCTTAAAACTTAAAACTGCATCTAGGCCTTCATTATGGTCACAATGTGGTCTACAGTACAGTATGACTTCCTGTGAGCTATGCAGTAAACAAAACACTACATCTGGTAACTACTGACTCATAGGGTTTGTTAGCAACATAAGCCTTGTAACTCCAACGCCAAACTAAAGAAGCAAAATTGGCTGATCGACTGCATCTAGGGAAAAGTTTGATTTGATTTACCACTAATTTAAATGGCATTTTTGCATTTCCACTCACCACGTTACACAAAGGAATCACCCAAATCACTCAAAGAAAAAGCAAACGATTGCAGATTCAAAGCATTTTCTCTTTACATTTTAATTGAAAAATACTTCAAGATTCACCTTTTTGACTGCGTTATACAATAATCTGATTTTTGCAATACAGTGTTGAACTCTACTGTTTTGGTAAGAAAAAGTGCTAAGTGGTGGACCACGTTGCAAGCATATGGATGGCAGGCATCCTCCACCACATATAATGTTCCTTTATGTCTTCATAAGCCTGGACATGTACACCAAAGTCCATGCGCAGAATGAGACCCAACGTACCCAACACCATCTCTTATGCAGGCCTGAACTGCAACATCCACAAACCATGAGCCTCTCTCACTCGTTCACTCACTCACTTGCTCACTCACACACTCATCAGAAGTCAACTGGGGTTGTCCATGAAGGATTTTTGTGATGCACACAGTATATGCCTTGAGAAGGCTGTCAAAAAAAACAGAGTTCATCAAGCATTCCATGAACCAAAACTGCAGCGTAGTAGTTTTTCACAGTGCTTTAAGTAGACAACTCCTTCAGTCCTTCAGTTTGACAACGAGGCTACTTGTATATTAGAGGGAAACTGACAGCAGCAGAAAAGGGACCAGCCCTTCGTCACGTTAAGTTTTCAGTGTTTGATTTTCAAAATTTTCAGTTCATTTTTGGGTTCTTTGTGGCGTCTGCCGTTCAGAGCCACTCAAATCCATCTGAAAGCAAAGAGAAGCACCCCCCAACGTCAACAAGGTCACATAGTCACCAGTGCAATGTTGCATGGCCATGTTGGCCTACCCAAAGGACCAAGGGCTACAAGCACAAATAAAGGCATGATCAAGAGGGGAAAGGGGGTGGTGGAGGACAAAAGCACCCGACGGGACCCTCAGCTATCGCTTCTTCTTCTGCTTGAGGGCCTTCCGGCGCTTCACTATCATCTCATAAAGCTTCTCCATGCCCTCGTGCAGGCCTTCGCCGATGATGGCGCAGGCAGGCTGGACGTGGTACGAGGTGGATGGGGTCAGCTCGCTGAGGGCCAGCTGCTTCTCGATGTCGGCCACCGGCAGGGACCTGGGCAGGTCCTGCTTGTTGGCGATGACCAGCAGCGGCGTGCCCTGGTTCTCCGCGAACTTGGTCACCTTGTGCAGCTCCGTCTTGGCCTCCTCCAGGCGGTCCACGTCCACAGAGTCCACCACGTAGATGATGCCATCCGTGCAGCGGCTGTAGGACTTCCAGAGGGGCCGCAGCTTCTCCTGGCCTCCCACGTCCCAGAAGTGGCAGCTAATGCCCTTGGCTGCACCGTTGCTCAGCTTGATCTTCTCCGTGTTGAAGCCGATCGTAGGCACCGTGTTGACGAACTCATTAAACTTGAGTCTGTAGAGCACAGTGGTCTTGCCGGCCGAGTCCAAGCCGAGCATGACGATGTGGAGAGACTGGAAGGCAGATATGTTCGAAAAACTGTTCCCCATTTTATTTATTTTGATTGATTTATTTCTTGGTTTTGTCACAGGATCAGTTCAGCAGGCTAGAAGCCCTTCAGTGAGCAGGACTGTAGAGGCAGTCATAAATAAGGCAGAGGCTTGTTGTTTTTTTTACCCGTCCTTATTCCTTGGGGTGTGGAAATGATGGAAATGATGGTGCTGTTCCAATGCCGCAGTGAGGCACGGCCACCCGGAACCAGGGCTCACATTAGCATTCTCCCCACGACCACCTTAAAATGCCATTGCGACAACCCCCCACCCTACTCTGGCTTTTTCCAGCCCGACCGGTTCAAGAAAGCTCCTCCCGGGCTGAGCTGCGTCCTCCTCCGGGCTGCTTCAATCCAGACTGAACCAATTTCACACAATCCAAAAGCAGCTGTTTTGTCTTCTCGGTCACACATACGTCCATTCACATAGCGGTGCTTCACCGTCCTCCTGCCGTGTCCGACTGTGTAACCGAGTGAAGGGCAGCGTTAGGTCCGCTTTTCTCCGCTCCTATTTGTGCCTCCGTTCACAGCGAGGCACGATGTGCGAGTACGCAGAGCGGGCGCTGCGTTCGGCGCTTAGCGATTTGGCTCCGCCCACAAGCGCTGTGGGAAAACAAACCACACGAACCTTTTCTTTTACCACCCGTTTTCCGACCAGCCCCGCCCCTTTTCGCTGCGATTGGCTAATACTTCATACTCTAGTGTACTTACAGAGCAACTTTCATACACCACGGTCAATCAAAGTGCTTTACAAATAAGAAAAAAAAAGGTAACTCAATTTAAAAAGATGTAGGAGGATATAAATTAAAATATAATCAATAATAATACACTTAAAAGAGAATACTTAGCAATAAATTAAAAATCTAATTAGAAAACTCACAAGCAGCCCGTCTGTTGTAGCTTACGTGGATGGCGTTATTTACGTTTTTTTTCAACCCGCATTCCGACACTACAAACGATTGGCCAGTGGTAACACGACTGCGCTGGGATTGGCGGATAGGGATTGGCGGATACCTAAATCGTGTACGGGAATTGGCTGATCGGGATCTGAGTTCTGCATTGGGATGGGCTCGTAGCGGCAGGAGGCGGGTTTTGTATGAATATTAGTCGAGGGGGAAAAGCGATTTAGGGATAGAGACGACACCTAAAATATAAATTATTCAGTTAAACAAAAACACATCCAAAATGTGTGCAATACATGTCAATATACTGTAAATTATAGCACTGAATTCCAAATGTATAAAAATATTGATATGTATGTATCTTAATGCCCCAAATATATGTGAATATATGTGATAATAGCATCAAAATGTCAGACAAAGAAAAATATATGCACAAAGATTCCCTCATATCGCAAATTTATGTGGTACATTGTCAAGTTCATAACTATTTGAGACACTGAATGGGAGACCAGCATTCAAGCCCTACCTCAGGCAAGTACACGCCAGTATTTAAATACATGGCAATATTTTAGAACATAAGCACATATATGTCCGTTAAATATGTTGTGGTGTCAGTTGTAAACATTTACAGATAAGTGAAAATATGTAATTTTATTACAAAATTACCTTGACACATACCTTGAAAACACACATTCACACGTACCTTTGCATGTGGGCATCGTTATGTCGTTAAAACACTTTTTAAATACTTTTAAACTTTTAAATCTTTTTTGAGACAGTGATAATAAGGTTGCCTTATAGTTAATGATCTATGGTTTGTTGGTGCCTGAAATAAAATACAGAGAAAAAGAGTAAGTAAAAGGCTTAAACTGCATGGACCTGCAGCGCCACCTGCTGGCATCACTGGGAAAGCTTGTAAATCTATATTTCTACACAGTGTACACAGGTCAGCGGTGTACAACTCCGGTCCTGGAGGGTCGGTGTCCAGCACAGTATCATGATTTACCTGCTCAAACACAACTGATTTAACTGATCTGTTCGTTGCCAGGGTCAGTGGGTGTGTTTGAGAGGGGCAACTACAAAACCATGCTGGACACTGCAGTACCAGAGTTGTGCACCCCTGCCTTAGGTCTTCACACATATGCCATTCTGAAGCATCATGGAGCACTTCACTCACAGATTGTAAAGGGGAACTCCACTGATATTTCAAAATTTCTGTATAATTTAATTGTTATCATGTAAATAAACTCAAAGTGGTTTGATGTGAAATGGAATATTGTAGAAAGAGTAAATGCTTCAGATGTCTTTACTATGGTGGTGACAGAAATCAGGGATTGTGATGTATTACAATGCAAATATAGTCATTTCATTTACTATCCAAAAAAAAAATAATAATTCTAAAGCAATGTCAGGAAAAATATTTGTAATCATGTTATGTAAAAACTTGCTGTGAGGGAGCTTTTAAGTGTGGACGTCTGGTTCCTTTCACCACCACTGTGAACAATTCTGACTCAGTAAGTTTCTCTAGAATGGGGCATTTCACACCAAACCACTCTGAATGACTTTGTTTCCATCTTAAGCATTTAATTATGCAGAAATGTTGAAATTGTGGTGGAATTCCCCTATAAGGCAGCATCTTTAATGTTGGGCCTTGATTGTAGTATCCACTCATGCCCATTCAGTTGCAGGTACAAATCCATAAAGCATATTTATGGGATCAGTGAGGGACACTGAAAGGCAGGTTGAAGGCAACTGCCTAAAATATCACTTTTTATTACCTCTTTGTATCGTGATTCATCACTCCAGAGAACACGTTTCCACTGCTCTAGAGTCCAGTGGCAACATGCTTTACACCACTCCAGCTGACGTTTGGCATTGCACACAGTGATTGTAGGCTTGTGTGCAGCTGCTCAGCCATAGAAATCCATTTCAGAACAGTTCTTGTGCTGATATTGCTTCCAGAGGCAGGTTGGAACTCTGTAGTGAGTGATGCAACACTCCAAGCTAGAAATTTCACAAACTTTCTGTGGTAAACTTGGCATCCTACGATAGTGCCATGTTTAAAGTCACTGAGCTCTTCAGTACGACTCATTCTACTACCACTGTCTGTCTAAGGAGATTGCATGGCTATGTGCTTGATTTTATACACCTGTTAGCAATGGGTGTGGCTGAAACACCTGAACTCAATTATTAGGAGGAGTGTTTATGCTTTTGAGCATATAGTGTACTTTAACAACCAAATGCAGATACTTTTGTATGGAAGAGTTTTCAACATTTCAGTTTGTGATTAAAGGTTTATGTATCAAAACCTTTTTTAGGTTCTAATAAAAATAGTCACATGATACCAAGAAGTTATAGGAATAAAATGTTTCCAATTATACACTAATGAGATGTGAATTTAGTTGATTAATTCATGCTCAATGATTGCATAACAGGTATTTTAACAAGGTGATTTTCACATTACTCCAATTATGTTCTAATACAGGTTATAATGAATAAAGCTTGATCGACCTTAAAAGCGTTCCTTAAAATAAACTGTTCCCATAATAATAATAATAATAATAATAATAATAATAATAATAAAGCCTCTGGAATTCTACCTGAAAACCTTTTATTAAAAATCGAAAACCACATTTATTTAATATTGAATATTGTATATATAATATATTTTATATGTAATATAATGTATATTTAATATAATTGTTTTCCTTTGTGTTTTGCATAACTGTCTTAATGTTAATGTAAAGCACTCTGTAAACATGTTTTAAAAAACTTCATAAAGTACATTATTATTATTATTATTATTATTATTATTGGTCTTCATCTTTTTCTTCTTTCATCATTATCCTCTTGCTCTTCTTCTACTAGCTACTATCAGTGGTCTCCATGCTGTTGAATAAGAGAGAAAACAGCACTTTGACTCTTAGTCCACTAGATGGCAGAAGCTCACTACAGATGTTGAATGTTTTGTTTAGAGTAGGACACCCAAATTAGAGCAGCATAATCTCCAAATTGCACTGGACTGCATCTCTGCTGGACAGGGCGTTGGGCCACCCTGGCCTAGAGCAGCTTCCCCACATGAGAAATAATAGATTTAGCCATTTAGAAATGTTGGAACTGGAACAAAGGACTTTAATGTGGACTCATACTGTGAGGGCACTGTGTAGCTCATAACTGCCACAAATGACGCAACAAAATGCAAGCACACTGGTTTATAATAGAAATGAACTAGCCAACAAGCAATGGAAACTCATAGCCTGTCAGGTAGAATCATGCGAACTCCATGCAGAAAAGCTCACACACTCGCCCCAAACTGTGTGGAGACGTTCAGTAATCTCCAATAGACTTGAAGAACTGTTTGGCAAACTATAATCTATAACCATGGAGAAAAGAATGCCATATAGCTGTTACTGCTTTGTCCCACACATTTGAAGCCAGTAAATGAGCTCAAAATAAGAATAAACTACAGAATTATTTATCCTAATTTTTGTTTATATCCTAATTTGTGTTAGAGAAACATATATAAAATGTCATTTTAAAAAAACTTGAAAGTCTTTTTGAAGTAATTGCATTGATTTCTCAAAGGAAGAAAGACCAACACCGAGAAGTCATACCAGCACCTCATTTACATATCATTTACATGAACATAATTCATGCAGATATTAAAATAGCGAGCCAATAAATTGACAGCATTCAGTGGCTTGCAGGCCAATGGCTTTGCTTGAAGGGCAGAGTTTGAGGTGGATCAGTGAGTGCACTGCCCCATCACTGACCAAACCTTATAGTGTTTAAATTACAACTGACAGTAACGTGATTGTGTAGAGTAAAATAACATATTTAAATGCTGTATTATTGCAGTGTATGACATGTATGACATGCATGTTTATACCAATATGCATGTCAAATAACTGCATACACTTTTGTACCGAATTTCCATGTGCGTAAATTATTATTATTATAGACAATGTTGATAACAATTTTGGTTAGTTAATGGTAAATCAAGCATTTGTTAAACTGTTACTCTCAAATTTACATGCACTCCTACCAGACATGAGTTTGATTGTACAGATACGCCAAAGATGAAACTGGAGAGTAACAAAAGTGTCAGTGAAATATGTGCGCACTCATTTTACAACCAGCTATGGTCGTACGCAACTTTGACGAATTAGGGACAATGTGACTCCAAAACTAAGGTGGTAGTGTACAATATTTTAGAAACGCTCCGATTTTAGTAATTTTGTCAGTGGTGTTACGGTCAGTGGTGTTACAGTCAGTGGTGTTACGGTCAGTGGTGTTACAGTCAATGGTGTTACAGTCAGTGGTGTTACGGTCAGTGGTGTTACAGTCAGTGGTGTTACAGTCAGTGGAGTTACAACTTTGTTAATGTTGTTCAATAAAACAGACAATGCAATGGTAGAATGACCCAGCTAAAAACAGTAGCAGCCGCCAACTCGAAGCCTGAATCTGCACGTTTGTCCATTTTTATAACAGATTTTGTGTGACAGGGGGAAAATTGGGTAAATGTAACTTTTCCTGAACTGCCACTTTAAGAATAATGTGTACCTGAGTGATCCGTTGCAGAGAAGTGATTTCAGTGTCTAAGACTTGCTGAGGTGTAGTGTAGAGATAAGCTTTTCACATTAGACTGATAAATAGTACACTGA